GGTGTTGGGGAGGGAGAAGGAGGCAACCAAAGGCCAAGGCGTTCAGGTATGAAGTCCCTCCTCTCCCCCCACTATATATAGGAGGGCCAAGGGGGGGTGGCCGGCCCTAGGAGATCCAATCTCCTAGGGGGTGCGACGGCCAAGGGGGGTTTCCCTCCCCCCCAAGGCACCTAGGAGGTGCCTTCCCCTCCTAGGACTCTTCCCCCCTTTAAACCCTAGGCGCATGGGCCTATGTGGGGCTGGTGCCCTTGGCCCATTAGGCCAAGGCACACCCCCTACAGCCCATGTGGCCCCCCGGGACAGGTGGACCCACCCGGTGGACCCCCGGGACCCTTCCGGTGGTCCCGGTACAATACCGATAACCCCGAAACTTGTCCCGATGCCCGAAACAGGACTTCTCATATATAAATCTTTACCTCCGGACCATTCCGGAACTCCTCGTGACGTCCGGGATCTCATCCGGGACTCCGAACAACATTCGGGTTACTGCATATACATATCCCTACAACCCTAGCGTAACTGAACCTTAAGTGTGTAGACCCTACGGGTTCGGGAGGCAAGCAGACATGACCGAGACGACTCTCCGGTCAATAACCAACAGCGGGATCTGGATACCCATGTTGGCTCCCACATGCTCCACGATGATCTCATCGGATGAACCACGATGTCGAGGATTCTATCAACCCCGTACGCTATTCCCTTTGTCTATCGATATGTTACTTGCCCGAGATTCGATCGTCGTTATCCCAATACCTCGTTCAATCTCGTTACCGGCAAGTCACTTTACTCGTACCGTAATGCATGATCCCGTGACCAGACACTTGGTCACTCTGAGCTCATTATGATGATGCATTACCGAGTGGGCCCAGTGATACCTCTCCGTCATACGGAGTGACAAATCCCAGTCTTGATCCATGTCACCCAACAGACACTTTCGGAGATACCCGTAGTCTACCTTTATAGTCACCCAGTTACGTTGTGACGTTTGGCATACCCAAAGCACTCCTACGGTATCCGGGAGTTACACGATCTCATGGTCTAAGGAAAAGATACTTGACATTGGAAAACTCTAGCAAACGAACTATACGATCTTGTGCTATGTTTAGGATTGGGTCTTGTCCATCACATCATTCTCCCAATGATGTGATCTCGTTATCAATGACATCCAGTGTCCATAGTCAGGAAACCATGACTATCTCTTGATCAACGAGCTAGTCAACTAGAGGCTCACTAGGGACATGTCGGTGTCTGTTATTCACACATGTATTACGATTTCCGGATAACACAATTATAGCATGAATAAAGACAATTATCATGAACAAGGAAATATAATAATAATGCTTTTATTATTGCCTCTAGGGCATATTTCCAACACCTCTGCCGAAGTTTTGCAGTGATTTGATTGGAGATTTGCGAGATGAAGTGTGTAGGCTGAGAGGTCAAGAAAGTGCAGTTGTGTTTGAAGATCCCACTGCAGTTGTGGCTTTGCCTGAAGCTGAAACGGGAGGAATGGGCATGGCTATGTCTCTGCAAGATCAGTTGAAGCAGAAAAATGCAGAGATAGACGCCCTTAAGGGGAAATATCAGAATGTTGTCATGTTTTTTGTTGTCTTTGTGGTAGGTTTAGTTGCAGGGAAGATGCTACTGCATTAAGATTTGCAAGTGTTAGTTGTATGCAATGTAGTATTGCTTTAGGGTTTAGAATAAAGTGATCTTTTGGCTATGGCGGCCTCTTCCACGTCGATAACGTCGCCAGACCTCGGGGAATCGACTGACACGATGAAGGGCAGGAGGTGCTGGCATGAGTAGGCGAGCCAGTGGGTTGGGAACAACCTCAACATGAAGATGTCGGGCGTGGCCTGGGCGAATATAGCAACAGTGAAGATTTCAGGCCCAGTTCCGGCGCGGTTTGGGAAAAAATGGAAGACCGCGGGAAAGAGCTAGGATTTGGGCGGTCAAGGGCGCTGGTGGAAATTTATAGCGGTGGGGAGGTCACACGGGACCTGGGTGGTGCGCCGATGGTTGTATTTTTTCGAGTGGAAGGAGCATGTATAGATTCGTGGAGAATGAGTGTTTCCTGATCAGATTCGAGAAGGAGAAGAAAAGAAATCTTTTGAGGCTTTACCTTTTAAATCTCCGAGGAGTGTATGCGTTTGAGGGTTAAGTTAGCTGATGTTTAAGTCCTGAAAAATGTCAACACGAGGAGTTAAGAATTCTTTTGGAGTACGATTGGAGAGTACACTTTGCTATCTGGCTTTATTTCTCGTGTTGCCGTTAAAGTCCGGTAAGCGCGTACCGATTTGTGGCGCAGGACGATGCCCCGGCTTTGGTCTCACCTCATCTCATCTACTCCTGCATTGGTTTTGTATTTGATTTGATTGTGGCCCTAAATATTTCTTCGGTACATCCTAGTCCAGCCAGCAAGAACTAGTACGTACGTGATAGTGGGCAGCAAAAAAGTATGTAACCTCTCCTGCCATCACTTTGCAGAAGAAATGGGACAGTTCAACCGTTACCGTTGTCCCTAACGACATGCAGGACTGTCCAACATGATGCTTTGACTAGACGCATCGCTCAACGAACAACAGGTAGGACGTCCGGACATCTTTTTAAAGTATGAACTAGCCTATTTTAAATACTCCGTCCCTTTCTATATATATGTCTTTTTAAAGATTTCAATGCGAACTATGTACGAATTTATATAGACATATTTCAAAGTGTAGAGTCACTCGTTTTCCTCCGTATGTAGTATATACTGAAATCTCTAGAAAGACTTAAATTTAGAAACGAGAGGGGGCATCCGCCTCCTCCCCAAGAAAAGTCTAGGGTTCTCCTGCCTCTCTGTGGCGCTGCCACCGGTACGCCTCGTCTCCGGTGGCCTTAGGGCCATGGCGGCATGGTGGATCTCGACCCTTGCCGGCGGAAGGGCTTTGTTTTTAGTTCTTCTTTCATTTTTTGTTAGGGTTTGTGTCCTGCTCAGGAAGACGAGACGGCGACGGCTCCCTGAAGATGGAAAAAGGTTCTCCCCGCCTAGCCCCCGTCCCGATGGTGTGTCTAGCATCATCGGTGGGCGTGTGGAGGTGTATCTCCGGCGGATATGTCATTGGTGACTTTGCTCGGTTCTGGTCGTAGTCCGTCTACGTTCATGTGTCTTCGGGCCTTCCGATCTACGCTACTCATCATGACGGCAGTTGCTGTTCTGATGCGCTGATCCTATGGGGTCTTAGCAGGACGACTTCCCGACTGTCTACTACAACAAGTTTTGCCTGGCTCCGGCAAGGGAGGGGCGTTGATGGCGGCGCTCCTTCAGTTAGCTTCAGTGCTTGTAGTCGTCGCTAGATGGTCTACGGATCTGGATGTAATTTTTATTATTTTCTGGTGTTCGTTGTGTTGCCATGATTGAAGATGAATAGATCGAAAGTTTTCTCGAAAGAAAAGAAGAAACAAAGGGAATGTATATCTAGGACGCTATGTGCAGTCAAAGAAGACTTCACATGTTTTTATCCTCTTCTCGATCACACTCCACTGGTTCTTTCGTCTCTTTTAAGGAGAAAATATTAAGGTCCTCGCAAAAAAGGAAAATGTTAATGGCTTAAGGTAAACATTAAAGTCCTCGCAGAAAGGGAAAACATTAAGGACTTAAGGAAAATGCCCTTTGAAAAAAAACAAGGCGCCGCAAATGAGATGATCATTCACGAAGCTAAGCATGCGGTCATCACTCCTTCCGCCCCTTGACGCTAAGAACTTCATCACATATATCATGACCCGACAGAAGGAATCACTTATAGTATCACGATGCTTTGTCGTCATGTTTCACAACTTTCACACAGGCTAGACTCCGTCAACAAAAGGGAGAGGGTGCGACAAAAGTGGGATGCTCATTCACAGAGCAAAGCATGCGATCATCACCCCTTTCGCCTGAATCCACCCCTCGAGGCTAACAGCTTCGTCATACCCGTCGTGACCCGACATGAGACGCCACCGATAGCATCACGATGTTTTGTCATCATGCCTCGCAGCTTTCACATAGGCTAGAATGTCCGTCAACAAAAGGGAGAGTTTGGATAGAAACAAATAGCATGGTACCGCCCCTCAATCTCACCGAACATGACCTACCTAGCCAAGTCACGGAATCCGCCGTCCACGATACTTCCTATTGCGAAAGGGTTTTTATTTCTATTTTCTGGTGTCTCAACTTTTTTCCCCAAGGAGGATTTATTTTTTCTTTCTATAGAGCTTTCATGTGGAACCCTAACACATCAGACACAAATCCCTCAAATGCAGAAAAGAAAAAAAAACCTTTTTTTGCGGGGGCCCCGTAGAACTTTACGCGGAGTCATAACGCATCAGATGCAAATTATCTGGACGCGGAAAAAAAATGTCCATTCATGGAAGGGCTTGCATTTCTACACAACCTTTTTAATGTGTTTTCTTCCCATGGGGAACTTTGCATGGGATCTCAATGAAGGCGCACATTCTTCCTCACTCATAGACGGAAAAAAAGCCGCACATTTTGTAAGCTATATGCTACTACTAGTCCAGAGTCCACTTTACAGCGAGATACCTGGGAGGGATCCCTTTTGCCTAGGGCAATCCATCCATCCATCCCCGCGAGACCAATGAAAGCGCCGAGCGCCGAACGGAGCGCAGGAGGGACCGATTTTGAACGGCCGCCCAATCGCAAATTGCAACGTACACACACACGGGCGCCATCTCCCCAGAAATCCCTCCTGGATTCGATTCCCCATCCCGGATCGATCCCCTCGCCGGGCCGCAGCACCGGACCAGGCTGCTCGGTCCCAACACCACGGTCCCTCTTCTCAGTTAACGACGTGCGGCGATGCCTTGGCACTTCCTCAGACACCAGAAGCTCAGCCAGCTGCTCCACGGTGCTGTTGGCAATGCTGAAACCATTTCTTTTTCTTTTCGCTTCTCGCCACACCACCACCACCACTGCGAATATGCTGTCCCCAGCCACGCCGGCCGCCCCCTGATCCCCAATGCCCCCGCGCCGCCGCCCGCGCCGCCGCCCGCGCCGCCCCGCGCTGACCGCTCCCTAGTCCACCCCTCTCTTCCTCCTCCGCCCCGCCCCGCCCTGCCCTGCCCTGCCGCTCCTCCCCGCTCGCGGAGGACGGGGTTGTGGGCTGAGGGGACGGCTAGGGTTTTCCTCGATTCGAGCGCCGCCGGGCTCCCGCGGATTCGTGCTCGCTCCGCGGAGCGCCGCCTGCTGTTTCGCTTTGCCCTAGGGGTTGGCTCCCTTGCTCTCTTGCTGACGCGGAACCGCGGCTCCGGGGAGCTCCGGGGCTCGATTCGCGGGGCTTTCGGCGGCGCGGCGGCGCATTCTGTGGCCTCGCAAGCCCCCGAGGGCTTCAAGCTTCGATTCGGCCGATTTGGTCGGGTCCGGGCTCTGCAAAGCGCGGCCTTTTAAGCTTGACGGCGCCTCCTGCCAAGCATTCTGCCAGGTCTCGCTGCTGATATTGGAGGGAAACATGGCGGAGAACATCGATCTGGTGCTGGAGTTCCTCAAGAAGAACCGGTTCGCCAAGGCCGAGGCCGCGCTCCGCGGGGAGCTCAGCGCCACCACCAACGGGCAGAGGCGCGCGGCCGAGCCCTCGCCCAAGGAGGAGGACGAGCGGGACGGCTCCGAGGCGGGCTCCGCCGCGGGGCCGAGAGGCGCCGCTTCTTCCGTGAGAAGCGCAGACTCGTCGAGGGAGTTCATTGTCAAGGAGATTGACGTCGGAGGCCTGGCGAATGGATCTGATGGGAAGAAGGGGCTCGGGATTGGCCTGCCTCTGGAGAACAGCAACACAGGGGATCTGTATCCGTGGAACTTCAGCATTGCCAACAGCACCGTGGAGCAGCTGGCTGAGCTTCTGGTGTCTGAGGAAGTGCCAAGGCATCGCCGCACGTTGTTAACTGAGAAGAGGGACCGTGGTGTTGGGACCGAGCAGCCTGGTCCGGTGCTGGAGCAGAAGGTGTCGTTTGGAAGAGGGAAGGGGAAAGTTGACACCGCAGGGAGAAGTGAAGTCAGTGAACCAGGCCATTCGAGTGACAAGAATCTGGTCCCAGAAAAGGAGGAGCCCTTGAATGGCTATGCAGTCAAGACAGTGCTTCCGTTTCCTACAGAAATCCCGTCGTCTAGTTATCATAGTACGCACCAGGATGGAAATGAGAGGAAAGATACGAAGAAGAGCGTCAATGCCGATGGTTCGGGAAAAGCAGCAAAGAGGCAGCCTGATGAGGGGAGCAGGCAGTATTACCCAGGGAAGTCCCAGAGTAATGTGGATCACGTTGCTGACCGTTGCTTCGACCTGCAGCTTATGGGAAATAGCCAACGCGAAGAGTTTCCAAAGTTGCCTCCTGTGCGTCTCAAGTCCGAGGATAAGCTTGTTAATATGAACTGGGAGGAGAAGATCGATCATCATGGATCTGGATCCAACGACCCTAGTACTGACCATGTCTTTATGATTGGCTCTTATCTTAATGTTCCCATTGGGCAGGACATTACATCATCAGGTATGTTGTTTACAATTTGATAGTGACATGGCAACATGATCATCTTTTAATTACAACAGTAGCTGCAAATTGATTCTACCTTACTCTTGAGCCGCACAGCAGATTGCTCCGTGTACATATTTACAAAACCTACCATATTTTTTTCTACAGAACTGCGACCGTGTAGCTCATACCTACCACAGGAAACTGCAACTTTTAGATAATTCAGTACATTTGGCCCTTCTTTGTGTGAACAACTGAACGTTACAAAGATTTGTAGAAATTGTGAACATTACAGCATCACACTTAGGAAGATGACTACACAGGCACTAGTTCAAGATAATTATTCCATTTTTCTTTGTGTTGAACATGAGCATATGACAATAGAAATTGTGAAGTCTCTTATGACTTGAATGGTTTTGTTTAGAGTTTTAATGAACTTGTAACAATTGTCCACTTTGCTTCTTGGGTAGTAATTGTTCTAGAGTCATTGCCATTGCCCCCTTCTGTGAACTCTGCAGCTTTATTTTATGTTGGTTTGTGCCAAACTTGTTTGTTTATCCTTCTAATTGTCTATTGAGAGAATAACAGCTCTCCTTGACCTAGAAGTTGTCCAGACCAAATCACCACAATTGTCATCTTGGTTCTGTGGGACGGCAAGCTTGAGAATAAGCTAACATAAACATGATTTGTATTGTTTATGCCTTTGTCAGAGTTCTTATGTGGAGAGTTTTTCGTGACAAAATAAAAATCACATTTTCTGACAAAACTCTGCTTTTGTTGGAAGTTTCTAGACAGACATATTAGCTTGTATCCTTGCTATGCTACATACTACATACACACAGTTACATGCATCTTTGTCTGATCCTTCAGTAATCATGCATAGTTGGACGGCATTATCACATGAGCCAAATGAGAGACCTTTTTTACATTTCAAGGACACTTGCCTTTAAAGCATATGATCTTTTATATATTTTGGCAGCACTCTCATATGCCATACTTTTATAATTGTGTTCTGTTCCTTCTTTTTCCCAAAGGAATATTTAGTGGTCATTTCCCATTTGTTTGTTGATCTTATGTGAGATTTTTAAAATTCAAAACTCAAGTCTTCTGGAAACTTTGATCTTTGATAGTATCAGTAGGCAAATTGAATCTTCGATGGTAAGTCTTTTTCTTTGCATTTGAAGGGCACTTGTCTTTTAGAGCATATGCTCTTGTAAAGGGATATGTACCGCTCATTTCACATTTTCCTGTAGATCTTATGCGAGCTAAAAGAGAACCTAGGACTCAACCTGCGTGAAAATTTCATGTTTGATAGTATGGATATTCAAATTTGCAACAGTGAAATGTTTCTTGCTCTAGGATGAAAATACTGAAACTATATAGGAGTGTTTTCCCATGCTTCAGAGCTGCTATAGTGTCTACTGTATGTTCACTCATCTGAGTTTGGCTAATCTTTTGGCATTTAACACTTGACCTACATGTTAACACATTCAGGTGGAAGACGCACGGTTGGCAGTAGTTGGTTATCCGTCAGCCAAGGCATTGCAGAGGATACTCCTGACATGGTTTTTGACACACTTGGTGATGATTTGCTTGAGTATCCAAATGAGTATTGGGACTCTGATGAGTATGACGATGACGACGATGTTGGCTACACCCGACAACCAATTGAGGATGAAACTTGGTTTCTTGCACATGAGATTGACTATCCTAGTGACAATGAGAAGCCAACTGGTCACACAAGTGGTGCTGATCGACATGATCGTCCTACAAAGGATGATGATGATGACCAATCATTTGTTGAAGAGGATTCTTACATATCTGGTGAGCAGTATTTTCATGGGAAAAACATCGCACCGATAGGTACTTCGGAGCGGCCAATAGGACATGGGATTCCTGATAATGATATGATAGCCCAGTATGATGGTCAACTTTTGGATTCAGAAGAACTAAATTTGATGCATTCTGAACCAGTATGGCAGGGTTTTGTGTCACAGAATAGTGAACTAGGCATGTTAGGAAATGGGAAATTCCTTAATGATTCTGCACGACCTCATCCTGATGACCCTTTTGTTGAGGATGATCAGCACGGTTCAGTCAGGTCAATTGGTGTTGGTATAAGTAGTGATGCTGCTGACATTGGCAGTGAGGTGCGTGAAAGTCTGATTGGAGGAAGCAGTGAAGGGGACATAGAATACTTCAATGAAAGTAATCTGAGTGTTAGTGGAAAGAGACACTCTCAGCAAGAAACGGAAAAGAAAAAGGTTAATGCGAATGGAGCCAAACAGGACCAAATAAATTATGATATCCAAAAGGGCAATATGCCACCAGGAGCAGCTTATGGTGATGGTGGATTTTCTTTTCCACCGCCACTGCATTCTGGAAAAAATACCGAATCAGATGTTAAGTCTTCATGGTCAAAGAAGGATGATTATTCAATCAATGATCCTGATGACTGCCAAAATGGCACAGTATCAGATGATACACTTGCCACATGGAAGAAAAGGAACAGTGTCTCTTCCCTAAGGAGCTCTCGAGATGAAATGACTTCTGATGTTGTTAGATCAAGAAACTCAAGCGCATCGTCTGCTCTGAACAATACTTATGATGAAGTGGAGGAAACAATGAATGCTCGTCATCAGAAACTAGATGATGCACAAGAAGAGGAGACCGGTACCACGTTAGATGACGAGGAAGCAGCAGCATTGCAAGAACAAGTAAGGCAGATAAAGGCCCAGGAGGAAGAATTTGAAACTTTCAATCTGAAGATTGTGCATAGGAAAAATAGGTACCTTTTTTAGTCCTTGATTCCTTGATCGCTCTTTTTCATTCCTGATTTGTTTTAAGCTTAAAAGGAAATGGACAGACCTACTTCTCTATTTGTGCTTGGTGTTTACATTTAGAATGGAACAAAATGTATTTGTTTCTGTGTAAAGATGCTTGTTTACTCTGACTTTTATCTTCTGTAAACGTTAAAACAGAACTGGTTTCGAAGAAGACAAAAATTTCCATGTTGTTCTCAATTCTGTTATTGCTGGTCGTTACCATGTCACGGAGTATTTGGGATCAGCAGCGTTCAGCAAAGCTATCCAGGCACATGATTTACACACAGGAATGGACGTGTGTGTTAAAATCATTAAGAACAACAAAGATTTTTTTGACCAGAGCCTTGATGAGATCAAGCTTCTGAAATATGTGAACAAGCATGACCCTGCTGACAAGTACCACCTTTTGCGCCTATATGATTACTTCTACTATCGGGTAAGTATGAGTTTTTTTAAATCTTTTCCCCATCCTTTCTTGGTCTTATTTAGTTCCCATGGAGCATATGCTTTTTTCAAGTTTAGGGTTGAGATATATGTTCCCAGTGATTTTACTGAAGCATTTTCCTTCATTTTTTTTATGGAAGCTGCATATATGAACAGTGCATTATGGTAAATTCGAGATCTTGATTATATGCTTTTAATGTTAGTTTTGTTGATACATCATTTCATTTGTTTGTCAGTTTTCCTCCTTTTCTTTATAAACATTTCCTCTCTAGTTATCTTGGCATTGATTTCTCGTGTATACTAACTTTTATAGTTCCTACACATTAAGGCAGGGTTGGAGATCCTCGTGCTATTTGATCCATTAGAATTGCCATATTTGTTTGTTTTTACAATTATTGACATTTGCCAAATGATCTAATTCCTTCCCCTCAGTCCACTGCATCTTGTAATGAAATTTGCTATGTTTGGTGTTGCACTTGTTTCAAACACAATTGGAGGATTATTTGTTCATACTATGAAGCTCTAGGAGTTTAGTTTATTTTGTAAATAAAAATTCTTTGAGATTCTTTGTCAAGTCGATTCATTAGAACGTTTGGGTTCTATCTTTAGTCATTGTCAAATTTAGATTAGGGTGTCCTGTGACGAAGTCAGCTCTGTTCTCTAGTACTTAGTTGAAGTATTTGTTTGCAGGAACATTTGTTGATAGTTTGTGAACTTCTGAAGGCAAATTTGTATGAATTTCAAAAGTTTAACAGAGAATCAGGAGGCGAGGTTTACTTTACGATGCCAAGATTACAGGTATCTTTTAGATTTATCGCCTATTAATGCTGATTCAGTGTTCTCGTTAAGCAATTGGACATGAATCAACTTTTCATGCTGGTAATTGATCAATTTCTTTGATGGATCCGTTTTGCAGTCAATAGCCATTCAGTGTTTGGAGTCGCTACAGTTTCTGCATGGACTTGGTCTTATTCATTGTGATCTGAAGCCAGAGAATATATTGGTAAAGAGCTATAGTAGATGTGAAATTAAGGTCATTGACCTTGGCAGTAGCTGTTTTGAGACTGATCATCTATGCTCATACGTTCAATCGCGATCTTACCGTGCACCTGAGGTTATACTGGGCCTACCTTATGACAAAAAGATAGATATATGGTCACTTGGATGTATTCTAGCGGAACTTTGCACTGGGAATGTAAGTGCTATCGCATGCTGATGATTACTGTTCTTAACAGTTATATTTATTGTCATTCTTTCATTGTTTGTTTCTGTAACAATCTTTTAGCGACATATAATAGAAAGAGCCTGTAATGCAAACCCACAGTTTATAATCACATAAAAGGAGAACTTTTCTTTCAGTGCATATTTCTTTAATGTCTTTACCATAGATCTATGCTTCAGGTTCATTAACAGTACTAGTATGGAATTGAGGCAATTAGAAACTATATACCTCATTAACAGAAGCTATTTTCTTTTTCTTTCGCCCGTCTCTATGTTCTGTGCTTAGTTGTCAACAGTAAAATATATATTTGGTGTTCCTTCTTACACATGCAGAATATGTTAGCTAATCTTTCTATTGGTATATGCTCTTCAGGTTCTTTTTCAAAACGATTCTCCTGCGACATTACTTGCACGTGTGATGGGCATCATTGGTTCCATAGAGCAAGCTATGCTTGCACAGGGGCGTGATACTTATAAATACTTCACAAAGAACCACATGTTGTATGAAAGAAATCAGGTTTGAACTCTTGAGCCATGTTTCCTTTTCATTCAGGCACGCCTGATTCCGATTCTTCCTTGAAATAGTATTGTTTCTAATATAAGTTGCAATTGATTGTGCTTCAGGAAAGTAGCAGGCTAGAATACTTGATTCCGAAGAAGACATCATTGCGGCACCGCTTGCCCATGGCTGACCAAGGTTTCATCGAGTTTGTTTCATACCTTCTCGAGGTGAATCCGAAGAAGCGCCCAAGCGCCTTGGAAGCATTGAAACACCCGTGGCTTTCTTTTCCTTACGAGCCAATATCGTCATGACACGGTTGCTGCTGTTGGATCATCATGTTTGCACCATATCTGAGTGCCTTAAACATCTGTCTTGGCACCTAAGCAAGCACCATGAAGTTTTGATGGATGAAGATGATGAAATCAGTTCTAGCACGAGCCACCCCATGGAAACAAACGTTCAGGTTTAAGCGCGATCCTGATTCAAACCGATCACGATGTGGCGCCTGCCTCTGGGATGGTCTTTTGCTCCCTGTACTAGAAATTGCCTGTGTTGTGGTGTAATATAACTCTGGGTTTTGTCTATTGTCTGGCTCCAGTATAACAGGCCATTTGGTTAGAGGTACATTTTGAAACCCATTTTTCTTGTAGGAATAGGGCTGTCATGTTGTACATGGTGTGATTATTATCGTCCAACCTTGTGGTGCCATGCTGTGCACGTCTATTCTTATGGTTCTAAGTTATAACCCAAGGTTCTTCTGTACATCTCGCGCCCGGTGCTTCTTCCGCAGAGAAGCATGATGCCAGGTTTTACATTGCTATTTTTTGTCTTAGGATTGGGTCGAAATTCATCTTTACTGTTCCCGCGCTACCTTCTTTTTAACATGCTGGGGATTCGCAGAAAATCGAGCCGCAAAACTTGTGTGAAGTTCTTATTTGATCTTTTTGAAAAAGTTGAGTTTTGATTGTTTACTTCCCCCGTAGTTGTTTTTCAATCTTAGCTGAACCATTCAGTTTCCATCATCTGCAGCATGTATATGGAGGCGTGATTTGTACCGGCATTGATACGTAGGCACGTGATTTGCATTGACTTTGATATCGGGGCACGTGAATAGTTTGGGCTTGTTTCGAACTCAGTAGAACAGACACGAGGTACAGTTCTGAAGCTCCATAGTTCTGCTTGATTAGACGGAGAATAGAAAAGATTGCGTCTGAACTTCTCGAAGGTAAACACTAGGGCTACGTTTGGGAGCTCAGTTTTTTCTGGAGTTTCGGAGGCATACCGTGTTTTTTATGGACATGGCAACTTCAAATATTTTTCATGGCAAGTTCAGTGATGCGAGAATGACAACTTTCTTTTCGGATGGCAAGTTTGAGTTTTTTTTATTAGTTTTTTCTTTCGGATGGCAAGTTTATAGTTATAAAAAACGTCAGGGCCGAAGTGATTCGTGCCACGCACATATCACTTATCATTTGGGTTTAAGAAACCACAATTTAAAATAATATAATGCGTTTGATATCAACAAACACCGTAATTTCATAAATCGTTGGGTTTTAGTATTTTTAAAAGAGGACCCAACCTCATTTTGCTATTTTTCCTAAACGAAACTGAAAAAAGTGCGGTCTGATAGAAACAGAAGTATTCATCGTTTTATATGTGCGCGTGGTTGTGTGCAGTGTGCAGCATCCCAAGTCACAACATTCGTTTTTCCCCAAACATCTCACAAAATAAAAAACCGTTTTGGACGTTGACATCCTGAACAGTTTTCTCGTTCTGTCTTGGAAAGGTTCAGTTTTGGGACGTGACATCCCGAGCAGTTTTTTTGGCTTGTTCAAACTTACACACATGTTGCGAACCAACCTATGATTGAATGGATAGAGGGACATTGGTATCCTCAGTCCATCAGAGTTCAAGTTCTGGTGCTCGCATTATTCCTGAATTTATTTAAATATTTTCAGCGATGCACTTTCAGTGGGAGGAGATGTTCCCGTCAACGACGAAGCGCCTATAACGATTTCGTAAATCTCAAGATGATATGCCGGCTCAGTCTTGAGTGTATGTGCGTATGTATGAGTGCTTGCGTCTGTACTATGTTCCAAAAAAAAAAACTTACACGCATGTTAATCTGATGCTGCAATGTAGTTTTGGAATCCCATGCGATAGCTGTATGACAGTATTGTTTTGAACTTCTGATGCTCCAAAGTTGTTTTTAAGGTGAAGATTAGGAAGAGAAGTGACTATTCTCGAGTGAATGAAAACAAGGTTTCACAAGGGGATCATCAGAAGCAATCAAGCAATTAATAGAAACAAGGGTTAACAAGCAAATACAAAAACAAGTAACTCTCACACTATGTAGACTCCCATCGGAAATTACACTCTGATGGTTGTACAAGTATTTTTTCTGATGCTCCAAAATAGTTTTGAAGGTCAGTGCCTCCTGATTCGACAGAAAAGTGATGATTCCCGAATGAAAATGATGTTCGACAAGGAGGTCATCACGAGTAATCAAGCAATGAATAGCAACAAAGAAAGACCAACATCAACTACTACAACAACATAAACAACAAAATCTGTCCATACTAAACAAGTAGCAGCAGCAATGTCGGTAAGATCATTGCGTTAAAATCAAGGGAATAAGAAAATACCAAGGGAATAAACTTAATGTGCAAACCTCAAATGCAGGAAAAGTAAGTGGCCTATATTCTACCTTGGTAAATTAATTCGTTGCTGATGCTATCAGACTTTTGTATTATTTTCATGAACATTCTGAACCGGGGCATGATAGATTTTAATTACAACCCAAACATCGTAGCAATACATTAAACATCTTGATGATTTAAGCATGCTACATATCAGCATGTACATCCCAGAAAAGATTAAGTAGAGTATATCTAATTACTAAACCACTATACTTCAATGGAGGAAACAATAAAAATAAGATAAATTACTTCAAACCAAGTAAAAGAACTTAGTAAGAGCAAAAGTTTCATTTGATATACCTTTGTGAAGCAAAAACAACATTATACCAGGATATATTAGGCAACAAGGCGCATAAAAGTTCAAGGTCAATATATAATACAAGCAAAAGAGGGCCAATTTTGCACTTTGTAACAATATAAACATCGTATTGCTGGATCTGGCAATAAACCAACAAAAGTAAAATAAAAACCACGAAATTTAATAAATCAAGATCATTGCGCTTCAAAGGATCAAAAGGAGCACGTGAAACCGGAAAACTGGATAGCTAAACAACACTCATGATAAGCTCACTTTTCTGATAAACTTGGCCTAACATGTGCGAACCTTAAACTTCTCCTTAAATCAATATGGATTGATGCATATACTCTATGCCAAGAATCTTGACAAAGCATCCCAACCAAGCAAAGGTAGGCACAAGCATTACCACAATAATAAGCACAACACATAATGGATTCACACATAGATATGCTATTCAGTAATCGGACTACTATAGTAGCACAATAACCCACCAACCAGGAGCTATTTTAGAGGGATAACATCCAACAGAAAGCATTTTATCTCAGAAGATCCTGCCAATCCAACAACTGGTCATTGCAAATCCAGTACAATTCATCTCCATTGTTAGCTGCACAAAAAAGAACAAATCCAAGACTTGTCTTAGAGGGTTTATTGAGATGTCAGTGTGGAGGGGAAGTAAATGATAAAATTATAGTTAGTGACCAGAAGCGAAACACATCAATACTTCCCAAGGGCTCTCTTGTCGACTGGAACAAGAGGGGGCATGCCCTCGCACTCCTTAGAATAGATATAGCCTCTCTTTGGTGGAATGAGGAGCGGTTGGTCATCCGGATTAGCAGGACTAGACATGTAGTTGTTGTTCAATTCTTTAAAGAAACCATAAGCAAAGTTAGATGGTTCTATAGATGACCTAGAAGATAGGAAGTCAGACGTCATGACAACCTTGGTGCGTAAATTCAGGCAGCACAGGTGCACATGCCCACTAATACCGCCATGCAGCTTGAAGGAGAGGACGTTGTCGTCGTCCTCCTGCGTGCTCGGAATAGGAAATATAGGTGCTACCTGTGACAACCCCCTCTTCTTGAAACTTGGCAAATCCCACAGACTTGCAATACGGAACCCATAACCACCATCTTCTGTGCACCACTGTTAAGTGGCCACATCTAGAACCCACAAGGACATCACAAAGTCCTCGGATGCCCCAGGGCCACCACATCCCTTGCATTCACAACCTTTGCCAATGCAGGCCAGCTTGATGGAGTTATCTGCCGTTCAATAGCTTATGGCCTGACTTCGACTAAGAATGGTGTTAAATCAATCATTACGTTGGCAATGGAACATAGTGGAACTGGACCTCATAGTTGTCGAATAGGACGGTGCAGGGCCGGCCATAGGATGGACAAAGAGGGATACCACTATGTGCCCCAAAGGAGGAAGGGCCCAAATATTAAAGATGGTAACCACTCTACTATTATCGATTAAGTTCAAAATATTATTGCATATGTGCAAAATGAATCTTAAATTTGCACAAGCAAATCTACATCCCATCAAAGTAACAACTAGCCTCTCTCTCTGATAGACATCCTGCAGGTTGTACTGGAATCTAATAAACTAAGTTTCTACATTTAATCCATACAAAACCTTTTATTTTAGAGACTTGTAAGAGCACTTGTATATAGCAGATGAAACAAAACGTCCAAATGAGCATACCAAATAAACAAATTGTATCGGCATAATTGAATCAGTGATATGTTTATGTTATCAATGACATTTTAGTACCATGCATATGTTGAACTTATTATTGAATCTAACTGCAACACATTTGCAATCAGTACAATTTATATTCAAGGTTCTACAAATATGCACACTTAATAATACGCTAGAAACCACTATTAAGATATTAGTTGGATTTATTCCTTAGAAGCCTCTAACATGATATTTAATGAAGCTAAACTATAGATGAACATATGCACTTACATACCATATAATTTGTAAAAATTGTTACAAAAATAATTCAAAGATAGTTTATATTACTTCACTTAATTTGAATTTATCATAAACAAAGTGATCAACGATATACATTGCAACCGATAACAGAGAAGATTGGTTAACTATACCAACTAAATCATCTGTTTAACTATACCAACTAAATAATATAATGTATACTCCTTAGTACTGCAGTATGATTAAAAAATAAGTATAAACGTTTGGTATAAAGTACTATTTATTTGATTTTCCCTAGTGTCCCAAATTTCTTTGAAATGTCCCTTAGGCCTCGTTTGTTTCACGTGGTTCGGAGGGGTTTTCAGGGGAT